CCCTGATACAGTTATTGATAATAGTTGTGAAGGGGCCAGCAATGGATTGAGGCATCATTTTAACGAATTTGACGGAGATACCGTCGGGGCCAGAAGACGTATCAGATCTTAACAATTTTAGATGGAGCACTTCTCGGAGCTTGGAATTAGCAGGGCTATCATCAGGCAGAGATTCAATTAGTTCTTCAGGACAGGAAAGTAAATCACCGCTAACAGGTAAAGTTCTCTCGGCAGTACAAGAAAAGAATGAGTTTAACTTATCAGGATCCCGCTGCAAGGGTTATTAGTTAGGTTTCAGTATGCGGTGGATAATACACACCTCCTTCGGTTTATTTGATGATAACGCCTGCCTTGTGAAGGTCTCGCGAGCCCGACGAATAGCTGCCTTTAACTTGTTTGTGACGTCCCGAAAAATTTCCCAGAACTCCTGAGAGCCAGTCTGGTGGCCTTCCTTCCTGAATTTATTCCGCAGCTGTTGTAGTGACCGTATTTGGCTGTCCTCCATCCAAGGTGCTGGCAGTCTTGTAACTCACACCCCACGAAGAGAAGCATGTCTCTCGAGACACTCCTTAAAAATACTGTCAAAGTCTTGTAATTGTTCCTCCGGATCATCAGATGAGTAAACAATGTTCGGAGGCAGCGTATCTAAATCACTTATAAATCCTTGCTCATCGAAAGTTTTTATATTCCTGATATATTTGTAGCGCGGTGGATACCGATTGACGTCCTACTAAGGGTTGCATGTAAAAATTAAGAGCTTCTCTTTTAACTTCGGATTAATTGTCATCGGTAATAATGCATAAAACGCAAGCAAAATGAAAATTTAGCATGTGGTTACTACCAGCAAAATGGAATTGTCGAATGGCGTGCTGTGCATAATTAACTGTTAAATAACTAATGAATATCAAATTCTGTTTATATACTACTTTGCGAGTCTTAAGAGATGCTATAAACTTGAACTGAATACATCTCTCGAATACAACGGACAATCTAGATAAATTGCCCGCCCGATGCTAACTATTAGAGACGAAACATTTTGTTAATACAAACAACGCAATCAAAATTGAAAGGAGGTTGTTATTTTCGTTCAATTGGCTCGAACCGTTTGGATTTGTCTTGTACATGGTAATCATCGTACCCTCGATGGTCTTTTCCACCTGTGTACAAGTGGTTGCTGTAACAATCGTGATGTTGCAACTGGCGTGGCATATAACTTTGAAGTCTTGATCCTTGATGTCTTCCAGCGACACTGTTTTGTTGACTTCGAGTAGTGTTTTCGTTTCTCAATTTTTTTACTTCACTGCAGTGTTCAAGTCAACCAAGTTGTCGTCAATTCCTTCCTTCACTGTTTGACTTCCTGTTGATGAACCCAAACACAAATCTCCTTTATCATCCAGCAGCCTTTCTCTCTCATAGGTCACCCTTACAGCTCTTTCCTCTGGGATTGACACATAACTCCGGTACATTGGATATCCCTGCCTATATAGACTGGAGCATTCCTGAACACTTAGCGGTGCATTGTGTGGGCAAAGACAAATTTCATGAACGTCCTTAAACGCGAACCTGGTTGAGTTTGTGAGACGGTCACTGGAGAGAGAGCTGAAGTAGCAGTGATTGTTGTGTATTTGGTGATTTTAGGTTTTGAGCTTGATCCTCCAGAGCTACCTCTCGTTCTACTGGTTCTGGAGCTTCTAAAACCTCCTGATCTCCCTCTTGTTTCGGATAATTCCACCATCGCGATAAGAACGATGGTGACAAGGAATACCGTGCTAAATCGCATCTTTGTGGAATTTGGGAAAAAGTCAGTTCTTCTTCGATCTCTCCATCACTTATGTGCAACTTAGGTGCGTGGGCGCAGGAAAAATAAATGTTCCGTGGAGTGCGTAGGCGGTGACGTATTCAACAGTTGAGCTCAAATCCTAAAAGCTGCTTTCTTCCGCAAACAAGATTTGACAAATCATGCCTGAAACAAGTAAAAGACATGTATAATTTCATGTAGCAGCCCAGTCAGTTGTTATGGCTTGTGCCGCAAAGAAAGGCTTAATTAGCCAACGTGAAAATTTGGCCAAAATGATGGATTGAAAGCTCACCTCGTTGACATATTAACTCCACAACTTCTTCTTTTAACATGCTGCAGACTTCAGCGGTTTATTAGAACATCTGCGATATTAAAACTTTTATCAACTGAAATGGTTTTTTAAACGTTTTGCTCTAAATTCGTGTCAAGATAAAATGTTTACTGACAGAGTCAATGATTACAGCACTTCCACAAAAGTTAACAAATACATGGATTGATTCAATGATAAAAATTAGTCATAAGTAACCGTTAAGCATTGAAAGTTTTTACATGGTAAAAAGATTTTAGATTGAACAGTTTCGATTGAAGCCCCCCTTGCCTAAAAATTCCAGCTTTACTCTGAAATCTCACAACCAACAAGTTCAAGACTAGTATGTTGACATTCCTGATATATATGAAGAGGTGAGTTAGCAAGGAATTGGAGCATGGATATACCTATATGATAATAAATAGGTGATACATTTAATAAATTCTTTCATAGTGTATTTAGGAAAAGATCTGGAGAGATCAATAACGAGATTGTTACACCTTTCACTGAGAGCATGGTTGATGATTTTACATGTTCAGTGGTTCATGTTTATAAAGTCCTTTGTACCATTAATGTAAACAAAGCGAATGGTCCTGATGCAATTTCACCTAGAATCCTGAAGGAATGAGCTGCTAAGTTTGCACCATCAATAACACAGTTGTTTAATTTTTCTTTGGACCAATGCGTCTGAAAATCTGCCAATGTTGTTCCGATCCATAAATCTGGTGAACGCCCTTTGGCTGAAAATTATCAACCAGTTTCCCTGACAAGCATGTTGACGAAGTCTCTGGAGCGTATCATCCATAAACATATCATGAAGTTCTTGACTCATCATATTCTGCTGAGTGAGAGCCAGCATGCTTTTAGAGAAGCTCGTTCATGAGTCACTCAACTTCTTTAGCTGTTACAAACATGGTCCAGTTCTCTCGAGAAAGGTAATTCAGTCAACGTGATCTTCCTGGATTTTGCAAAAGCCTTCGACAGGGTCTCTCATTATCACCTATTTTATAAGCTGCAATGTGATGGCAATCGCGGTCGGTTGCTTTCCTGGTTTCATGACTATCTGTCAGACCGTACACAAAGAGTCATTACTGGAGGTTATTCATCAGATTGGATGGAGGTGTCCTCAGGTGTTCCTCAAGGGAGTATACTGGGGCCACTTCTTTTCCTCCTGTACATAAATTACTTTCCCCTAAGTGTTGGCTGCAGCACGGAGCTTTTTGCTGATGACAGTGTACTCAATCGTAAGATCAAGTCTGAAGATGATTGTGTTGAACTTCAAGATGACCTCGTCTGCCGCTTCCTGGTGTGATTTGTTAAAGGTTAGGCTTAGGTCTTAAAAGTGTAAATCTTTACATGTTTCGAGGTCTAAAGTCCTGTAGTTCATCAGTATGTGATAAATTACAAAAGTCTTTCGGCTATTAATAATTTCGAGGTCTAAAGTCTTGTAGTTCATCAGTATGTGATAAATGACAAAAGTCTTTCGGCTATTATTTGGCTCCAAAGATTCTGTGGCAATAAAAACGGCTTTTAACGTTTTTGTTCGTCCCATTTTGGAATATGCCTGCCCTGTTTGGAACGCATATTTGACTAAACGCATTCACAGTATTGAATCCATCCAGCGTCTTGCCACTCGTTCGATATTTGGATCAGATAAACCTTACTCTGATAGGCTTACCGAACTTAACTGATCAACATTGTAGCTTGCTTTACAAGATAATTCATGGCTATTCTGATGTGGACTTTACCAGATATGTGGAATTGACTGGCCCGACAAGAACTAGAAGTAACCATGACTAGAGCTGCCAGGACTGACTGTTTTGAGTTTTCATTTTTTAACCGTTAATGATTGGAACTCATTACCTAATTTTGTTATGTCAGCTTCCAGTTTGAATTCCTTTAAAACTCGATTAGTGAATTATCTTTGTACATAGTTTTATTTTGTTATCTCGAAATGAGCTTTATTCAGATTTTACTTTTTGTTTATTGTTTAGTTGTTTCTTTTGTTTTTTTCTTTCATATACAACGTATACTTATTTATATTAGCCTTGGAGAGAAGTTTTTATATGGGAGTTCAGTTTCCCTCAATGGCTTTCCTTTACCTACTTATTAAGATCAATGAATATTATATGGTTATTATACTATACTTTACTATTTTTGTTGATTAAATCGCAAGAGAAAGCAAGATTGGGAATATCATCGTTATTGGCTTGGTACTGGTCAAAATAATGAAAACGATGATGATTATTTTTATTGGTTGTATTATAACTTTTATTACTATTTCCATTGTTACTTCCGCTGTTCTTGGAACTGTTACTGACTTTGATAAATCAACAAGTAATGTTTGTAAAGTTTATTTCCTCCAAACAATTTTCATATAGCGTCACTTTAAGATGGGTAAACCAAGGTACACTGAGAGCAAATCTGAATTGCAGGGCATTTCCCCAAAGTGCATCCGCTTTTAAACTCGAATAAGAGGCCTTTCCTCTCATTTGATCAGAAATAAAGATATATCTGGGAATTATTAAGACCTTGGACTGAGCAGCTAAGTCGTGAGGTAGACCGCATTACTTTGTTTCTCTGTTCGAGGTTCCGTCACGGAAAATAACTTAACCGTCATGAATATCGATCGTGCATGTGTTTTGTCACGCGCGCACATCGTGTTTTCCCAGTCTTTATTGGGAAAAGTTTAAATTCCTGCGTAAATGGTACTTGAAAATGAAAACCCTTTCACCGACTAGAAGCCTAAAATACTCATTTCTAATATGATTAAAAAAGCCAAACTGTACTTTTAAAATAGTTTGTTCGCCAAAAAAGATTACTAGGCCCGTTCAAAGAAATTTGGCTTAGTTTGACAATGAAGACTTTCTGAAAATACTAGCTCCTATAAGCTTTTCAACAAACTAGTGAAGTGTTTTTTACTATGAATCGGAGTCGAGAACTTTTAGTCTTTTGTACATTTTTGTGGATTTTATCTCTGATAGCATCTGGAGTGGCCAAGGTCGGTGATTGATTAAGGCTACTGATAGAGATGTTGAATTGACCACCTTAAATAACTAAATAACACCGCCTGTTAAGGGCGACGTTGCTTGCTGGCCATGTTGATAATCTGCGGCCGAATTAGCTGAATGAACTGTGGTCGAAAAACGTTCACAAACTTGAGATATGTTCGGTTTCTCTCTATCATGCGCTCTCCCTGTACTTAGTTCACACAAACTGTGAGACATTTTTACTTGCTGGTTTTCAGGCGGGCAGAGAACGTTCCAAACATTCACTCTCGATTATTCCGCATGGCCGCCCTGAAAGGCGGGAAAAACCGACACGATTTTTCTCTTTGTGAATAAAATATCAGGCGTATCAGGCTTCTGATCGATCATACGGTAATTTTCATAAGTTACAAAAATCGTATGACCAATGGAATTTTTCCTCATCAAAGAGAGACGATTTTTATTTTGCGGGTTTGAACTGAGTAAATCTCAGTACTTATATAGCAATTATCACGAACTAATAGTTTTAGTTTACAGCAGCTAGTAAAATAATACTTTCTTTTATATAGATCAATTTAAGATTACAACACTTTTCTCCTATTTAGATCCATCAGCTGGGCCCTAATGACGAGCACCTGCTCGCAGGCCATCATATTTGTAACCAGTGAGAAGAAATTCTCGGTTCTGTTGTCCAAGAAGTGAATTTATAAAACGTCGGACAAAGTTGAAGACGACAGGGCCACAGTTCCTCGGTTCTATCGACAAGCCTCCGACCAGTCGATTGTCGCCTATTTCGATAATAAGCAGGCTTCGTGGAAGAGCATCGAGCATAATCCGCGCTTCAGAATACTCTTCTGGAAGCTTGGCCTAGATATCATTAAGAATTAATCGCAAGTAGCCTCGCGCAAATAATTTCACAAATATACCAAAGTTCCACAAGTTTCCCTCCTCATTTCGCGACTTGGGAAATTTTGTGAGAACTTTGGAAATACGTGTCATGATAATCCTTATAATCTTTAGTAGTTCCTCAGTGCGTATTGTATGCTATTACAAACACTACGCACTGAGGAATATTCGTCTTTTTCCTCCTCCCTCTCTAATAAAGGTGGATTTCCGGTGTCACGTGAGTTTTTCCGTACGTTAAACGTGCGTAAAGCGCGTCAGAAATTTCCACTGTCGCGTTAAAATAAATATGTTTAACTTTTCTCTGTATTCTTGCGATTGCAGACGTGCGTAAAATTGTTTTCAAGATTTTTTTGTAAAATTTCTTTTTCAACGTACGCTGACTTGCCCTAAAAGAAAGACCAGTACAAGGATTTACTACGTGTTCTGGCCAAAATCTTTAATAGTAGACGACTATTTGGAAACTTGTGGTTTATCAAGAATGGACTTCCATAACATAGTTCAGTATGCCAGTGGTTAATACTAACAAACCTGGCGTTGAGTAACGCATGAGTTAAGTTACCGAGTTATCAACACTACTTTGCGACCTGACGGCGGTACACAGACCATTTTTACCATTTTTTTGGGGGGGGTTTTTATCCAATATTTTATTTCTGGCGACTTTGTGATGTTTCATAAATTTAGAAGAAAGGACCTTAAGATAAATTAGTTCACCTGGTCAAACATTATTTGATTTCATGTCAAATACATCAACTGGAAAGGACTTCACTTTAAGTACCACGAATACGAAAACTCCGACTTTGAAACTTGACACTGTTAGCGAGGCATACTCTTCAGCTAGCTCTTCATTCTCATCAGGCTCGTCGTCAGTGTTATTCTGAATAAACCTGAATCCTGTCATAGCTATCCTGCCGCTGAAGTTTTTTCCCCTTCCATATTAATAAAGTAATAGTCAAAACAATGGGTCACCTAAAGCTAAGAGTCGACTTTCGACGGCTGTATTTTTCTAGATGAAGATGAAGATTTTTCTTTACTTAATGATGTTTTATCCCATTGCGAGTCTTAAAAAAGCTTTTATGGACTCAAATCACTCGTCAAACATATAAGTTTCGTTTATTTTTTAGACTGCTCCATATGCATTGTCAGGTCGAATTTTCGAAAATGCACGCAATTTGTTGGCCAGCTATTCTAGAAGTTCGTCGAAACCGCAACATGTTTTTATATTTCCATGCTCTTCTCCCCTATTTTAGTCAGTCTGGATAGAAATATCCTGAGAAAGAAGTTGGAATTTTGCGCTGAGCCGAGATGAAAAGTTGCATATTTCTGGTCATGGCGGTAGCGTCAAAGACAGTGTCAAAAAAAAGATTTGCAGTGAAAAAATACTGTTAAAAAAACCAAATTTATGTGGTTTGTTCTCATAAAGGGTTGATCTAAATATGCGAAGCAAAACAAAACCCTCGAACTGGAATTTTATGAAAAGACGAGCTTGGAAATATGTGTCATTTTTGATATTCGGTGTTGTTAAAAGCTGGCGTTTGAGCTCTGTTGCAATTTTCGCGCGGGAAAAAATTATTTTGCTATATTTAAAAAAACCAAGGTGGTTAATAACGAGATAATTAGGTTTTATCAACGGAGATAATGATGATGCAAATTTGCCACCGTAAAGAGTTTGCACAAGAATGCTCAAAAGCAGACTTTTCGAGCATTATCCCCTCGTTTGTTTATGTTTGGAATGTCAGCTTTGCTAGTACTTTTTATTATCTTTTGTTCTGGTTTGATTTTATCAATCGATCCTTCTTCAATTATTATTACTCTCGTTCTACTGGTTCTGGAACTTCTAAAACCTCCAGTCTCCCTCTTGTTTCGGATAATAATAAGAACGATGGTGACAAGAAACACCGTGGTTGATCGCATCTTTGTGAGATTCGGGAAAACGTCAGCTCTTCTTCGATCTCTCCAATACTTATATGCAAGTTTGGTGCGTGGGCCCAAGAAAATAACTGTTCCGTGAAGTGCGTAGGCGGTGACGCATTCAACAGGTGGGTTCAAATCCTAAGAGCTGCTTTCTTCCGCAAACAAGATTTGACAAATCATGCTTGAAACAAGTAACAGACATGTATAATATGATGTAGCAGCCCAGTCAGTTGTTATGGCTTGTGCCACAAAGAAAGGTTTTATTAGCCAACGTGAAAATTAGGCTAATATTGAAAGCTCAACTCGTCGACATGTTAACTCCACAACGTCTTCTTTTAACATACAGCAGACTTCAGCGGTTTATCGGAATGTCTGCGATATTAAAAAGATTATCAACTGAAATGGTTTTTAAGACGTTTTGCTCTATATTTGCGTCAAGATAAAATGTTTACTAGCAAAGTCAATGATTACAGCACTTCAACAAAAGTTAAGAAATGAATGGACTGATTTAATCATAAATTAATCAAGCATCGGAAGTTTCTACTGAGATTGAACAGCTTCGATTTTGAAGCCCCCCTTGCGTACAAATTCCATCTTAACTCCGAAATCTTACAACCAACAAGTTCAAGGCTAGCATGCCGACATTCCTGTTAGATATAAAGAAGTGAGTTAGCAAGGAACTTGAGCGTGGATAAACCTATGATAATAAACTAGCTGAAACGCTGGAGCTGAATACATGTAATACGTACCAGAAAAGTACTAAACTGATGATCATCTGTTCAAATTGGTGTCATACAGTTGACAAGACAAGACCTGCAGAAAGATAATCCAATTTCTTTGAATCTGTAGGAATTTTAAGATAAAGAATTTCTTTCGATTTAGTAAGGCTATTGAGACCGGACCAATTTCAAATGCAAATTTTTGTAATTCTACTGTATTGGCCCTGAACCAAGGATAAAGACGACTGTAATTCTCTCACGTTCTATCAATCTTGACAGATATCCAAAATGAAAATACAACATTTACAGTGTAAACTTAGTAATAACCTGTTTTTGTGGGATAAACCTTACTAGAAATAACGTACCAGATATCGAAGATCAATTGCGTACTTTTTAATTTGCTTGCGTTAGCTAACGAGCATAATAAATTAACTGTCTTTGCATACAAATTTCGTATTCCCGCCGCTTATGCATAACACTATCATAGTGCCAGAGACAATGATGTTTGCTCACTCATGTAGTGCTGCAGCATATTTTCAATTATTCACCTTCCACATAGGCCTGTGCTCTTTTCCTGCATAACTCAATAGAAGGAGCTTACAGTCAAAGTCATTTAAAATGCTACACTGGCAATAATTGAGTCTATGTGCAGTAAAGACGCATAAAGTGTGATAATATTCACATTGAAATGAAACTTTACTCGGAAAATATTTATACTTTTCCCAATTACATAAATGGCACTAACATTTTGAACAGGTTGTAGTAAATGGTCATAAATGAAGAATGAATCTAACTTTACACACAAAATACCCAAAACCTCCAATAGGAGACCTTAACATCCAATTACCTCTCTTCCCATTTGATTACAAAGAAAGATCCACAAAGTTATTTTTGGGAGTTATTAAGACCTTGGACTGAGCAGCTATCTAGTGAAGTAGACCGCATTACTTTGTTTTCCTGTTCGAGGTTCCGTCATGGAAAATAACTTAAACGTCATGAATATCAATCATGCATGTGTTTTGTCACGCGCGCACATCGTGTTTTCCCGGTCTTTATTGGGAAAATTTTAAATTCTTACGTAAATGGTACTTGAAAAATGTAAACCCTTTCACCGACTATGAATTAAATGCCATTGGTAACATGACATTTCACCAAAAACAACTGGACTACATATTTATAATAATTACATGTAAATCGTGTCCTACTACACCACCAGTCTGTGCGGAAAAAAAAAACCCTATTTAGATCTATCAGCTGGGCCCTAATGACGAGCACCTGCTTTAATAGTTCCTCAGTGCTTATTGTATGCTATTACATTCACTACGCACTGAGGAATATTCGTCTTTTTCCTCCGCCCTCTCTAATAAAGGTGGATTTGCAGTGTTGCGTGAGTTTTTCCGTACGTTAAACGTGTGTAAAGTGCCTCAGCAATTTCTCTGCCACGTTAAAATCAGTATGCGTAACTTTTCTCTGTATTCATGCGATTGCAGACGTGCGTAAAATTGCTTTCAAGATTTTTTTGTAAAATTGTTTTTCAACGCACGCTGACTTGCGTGGGCTAAAATACGACAGCAGAAATTCACTATAAAAGCGTGCTAATGAGTATTAAGGGGAATCTTTTGCCTGTTGTGTTGTTTTAAAAATCGCCTTGTTTCTTGACATGGAAGACAGATGTACCTCAAATTTTCAGAAAATTCATAAGCTGGTGAAGGAGTTTAGGTAACAGATTTTGGCATGTTCACAAGCTTGACATTTTTTTCCGGGTGCTTTCTGTTTAGAATATCACGCGTCAAACATTCGCTTGAGCTCCATAACTGCCTTGTTTCGCAACAAAATATCAGATCTTATTCAATTTTTTTCCTTCCAGTTCGAGTGAAGTTTTCTTGCTACCTATGGATATCCGCTTTTTGATGCGAACGCAACACTTTTTAAAAAATTTGGAAATTTTAAAGCTCTGTTGAAACATGGATCATCTCTTTGCACTCGATGGCATAATCCACAATAATCGTGCAAATGTAAGTCAATCTCCCGCGGTCAGAAGTCAATCCTATACTACGCAAAAAGGGAATCAATATGAACGACAAATACTAAATGAGATCGTTTTCATGTCATATAACTTTTATTGTGATTATTAAAATCGAAGCAAGAACAAGCCAAATACAAATTTTAGACAACATCTTCATTTGAGGCTTGTTAATAATTGATATGGATGAAAACTTGGAAGTATTAAAAGCGGTTACGGACTCTCCAAGCTAAGCTCGAGATTATAGTATACAATTAAGTGCTATTTTGAAGTTAACTACTATCATTATCACTGAACATATTGATACTAGCGAAACATGAGCCCTCATGATTTAATGACAAAATACACGTTAATTCATAAACACAAACAACATAATAACGACTGAGAGAAGTATGTTGTTGATGTTCAGTCTGTTTGAGCCGTTCGGATTTGTCTCGTACATGGTAACCATTGTACCTTGGACGGTCTTCTCGACCTGTGTACAAGTTGTTCCCGTCACAATCGTGATGTTGTAACTGGCGAGGCTTAAAACTTCAAAGTCTTGATCCTTGATGTCTTCCAGCGACACTGTTTTGTCGACTCCGTGTAGTGTTTTCGTTTCTCCATTTTTGTACTTCACTGTAGTTGTCAAGTTGACCAAGTTGTCGTCGATTCCTTCCTTTATAGTTTGTTTCCCTGCTGATTTATCCAAACACAAATTTCCTTTATCATCCAGCAGCCTTTCTCTCTCATAGGTAACCCTCACTGCTCTTTCCTTCGGAATGGAGACATAACTCCGGTACATTGGATATCCCTCCCGATAGACTGGGGCACTGCTGAACGCGTAGCGGGTCACCAAGTAGGCAACGACAACTTTCTTGAACGTGCTTGAATGCGAACCCAGTTTAGTTTGTTTGACAATCACCGGGGAGCGAACTGAGGTGGCTTTGATTGGTGTGTTCTTGGTGATTTTAGGTTTTGAGCTGGACCCTCCAGACCTAGATCTCGATCGACTGGAGCCTCTTGAGCCACGGGAGCCTCCAGATCTGCCTCCACCACCACGTCCTCTTGTTTCTGATAACTCCACCATCACCATAAGGACGATAGCAACAAGCAACACTGTAGCGAATCGCATCTTGGCTAACAGCAACGACGAGTAAAACTGAGTTTCAAGTTAATTCCTCTTCCCAACTTTGTGAAAATTGGGTGCGTGTGATGTAGTTTCAATCACTTACTCTGTATCAGGAAAACTAATCCTCCGTATTATTACAAACTCTCAACCAAATGAGTGATCACTTGAACATCTGTCAATCAATTATATTGCGTCAAGCGAATTTTTGCTTATCTTGTTTCAGGTTCTTTCAGGCCCCTCGACGGAAGAATAACATCATCATCACTTATGTGCAAGGTAGGTACGTGGGCGCAGGAAAACTAACTGTTCCGTGAAGTGCGTGGGCGGGGACGTATTCTACAGGGCTCAGAGTCCTAAGAGCTGCTTTCTTCCGCAAACAAGATCTGATAAATCATGCATGAAAAAGATAAAGGACATGTATAATTCCATGTAGCGGCCCAGTCAGTTGTTATGGCTTGTGCCACGTAGAAAGGTTTAATTAGCCAACGTGAAAATTAGGCCAAAATGATGGATTGAGGGCTACCTCATCGACGTATTAAATCCACAACGTCTTCTTTTAACAAGCTGCAAACTTCAGCGGTTTATCAGAATATTTGCGATATTTAAAGGTTTATCAACTGAAATGATTTCTAAGACGTTTTGCTCTATATTTGCGTCAAGGTGAAATGTTTACTAACAGAGTCAATGATTACAGCACTTCAATAAAAGTTAACAATTGAATAGATTCATTTGATGATAAACTAATGATAATAATACAGGTAACAGCTAAGCATTGGAAGTTTTTACTTAGATTGAACAAATTCCAGCTTAATGACCAGAAACTCACAATCAACTAGTTTAAGACTAGTATGTTGACATTCCTGTTATATAAAATGAAGTGAGTCAGCAAGGAACTGGAGCGTGGATTGACCTATGATTATAAACAAGCTGAAACGCTGGAGCGTCAGTTAATACATGCAATACGTGCCACAGTACTAAACTGAAGATCAGCTGTTCAAGTTGGTGGCTAAAGTCAAAAGGACAAGACTTACAGCAATGTTATCAAATTTATTTGAATCTGTAGGAATTTGATGATAAGGAAATTCTTCCGCTTTAGTAAATTTGCATAAATGTAAATTTTTGTAATTTTACTGTATTAGCTCTGAACTAAGGATAAAGAAGCTTGTAATTCTCTCACGTTCTGTGAATCTTGACAGATATCCAAAATGGAAATAAAACATTTATAGTGTAAACTTAGCAATAACCTGTTTTCGTGGGATAAATCTTACCAGAAATAACGAACCAGATGTTAAAGATCAATAACGTACTTTTTAATTTGCTTGCGTTAGCTAACGAGCGTAATAAATTAACTGTCTTTACATACAAAGACTGTATTCACTGTCAAATTGCGTATTCCTGCTGCTTTTGCTTAACAATTTCATAGTCCCAGAGACAACAATGTTTGCTCACTCACATAATGCTGCAGCATATTTTCATTTGTTCACCTTCCACATATACCTGTGCTCTTTTCCTACATTACTCATTGGAAGGAGCTTACAGTCAAAGCCCTTTAAAATGCTACACTGACAGTGATTGAGTCTACGTACAGAATAATTGTTACATAGCGCCACTTAAAGATGGGTAATCCTAGATACACAAAGAGTAAATCTGTATTACGCGACATTCCCACGAAGTGCATCTGCTTTTAAACTCGAATAAGAGACCTTAACATCCAATTACCTTTCTTCCCATTTGATCATAAATAAAGATCTACAAAGTTATTTTCAGGGGTTATTAAGACCTTGGACTGAGCAGCTTCCTAGTGAAGTAGACCGCATTACTTTGTTTCTCTTTGTTTCGAGGTTCCTTCATGGAAAATAACTAAAACGTCATGAATATCAATCGTGCATGTGTTTTATCACGCGCGCACATCGTGTTTTCCCAGTATTTATTGGGAAAATTTTAAATTCCTACATAAATTGCACTTGAAAAATGAAAACCTTTCACCGACTATGAATTAATTGCCATTGGTAACATGACATTTTGCCGAAAACTAAGATATATATTTATAATAGTTACAAGTAAATCGTGTCCTACTACACCAGCAGCCTCCACGAAAATGTCGGGTCGCATATCTTCATTTAGTTCAGTGTGTATCATATCAACCAAACTAACCAGCTAGAAAGAGCTTAAAGATGTTACATGGACACTAACTACGAATAACGAAACGTGTTGATAAACACAAACAAAGTAACTACAGATGCTACCAACCAAGTGCGAAAACACCTACGAGTGGCCGCAAACCTGATGATTATCAGCCTCGAGCGTAAATAAAACAGATGGTTCGAGGGGATAAGCTCAAAGCAAGGGATAAAAAGGCAATCAAAGAGTTTTCTGAAAAATACATTGTTTCGGAGAAGCTTGTTGCAGATTATATTTAGCATCTAACTGACATAATTGAAATGAGGAAAGATAAGCGGCCAACAGATAATGACAGGAAGCGTGCAGAAGAAAGCGACAGGGATGCAATGACATTGACTGGTAAGATCTCTATCACAGAAGCCAGTTGTCATCCCTTAGAGTTTGTGAACTTGAGCTTTATATTAATCACCAGAATCTTGCATTTAAAGGAAAGAAAGATAAGAAAGTGAGGGTGGTGAAGGCACATATTGTTAGTATGATTTTGACTTCTATTGCGCAGGAAGGTTAAAACAACATTCAGCCAGCCTCTGACTCAAATTCAGAGTCTGACAGTGACAGTAACAGCGCAGAACGACATCACAAAAATCCTCATTAAAAAATTCTGGGAAGGGTGTGTATTCCCCCCCCCCTCCCCTTGAATACCTTACAAAGAGGTATGACCCTCCTTTTGGTGCTCACTTTCACTGATAACCCTCCCCCTTGGGGCCACAGACCCCCCTTCCCCCCAAGAAAAACTTAGCTTCCCTCAGACCCAATCAATGCTGTCAAGAAGCCTAAAATACTCAATTCCAATATGATTAAAAAGGCCAAAATGTACTTTTAAGAGAGTTCATTCGACGAAAACGATTACAAAGAAATTTAGGCTTACGTTTGACAATTGAAGAGTTTCTGAAAATACTAGCTCCTATACGCTCCTATAAGCTCCTATAAGCTCCTATAAGCTTTCAACAAACTAGCTTTTTTTACTATGAATCGGAATCGAGTACTTTTAGTCTTTTGTACCTTTTTGTGGATTCTATCTATGTCACTCTCTGGAGTGGCCAAGGTCGGTGATTGATTAAGGCTGCTGATAGAGATGTTGAACTGACCACCTTGAATAACAGTGCCTGTAAGAGCGACATTGCTGGCAGGCCATGTTGATAATCTGCGGTCGAACTAGCTAGATTATGAACTGTGGTCGGAAAATTTACGTTCAGAAACTTGAGATAAATTCGGTTTCTCTCCATCATGCGCTCTCCCTGTTCTAAGTTCACACAAACAGTAGGACATTTTTACTTGCTGGTTTTCAGGCAAGCAGAGAACGTTCCAAACATTCAGTCTCAATTACTTCGCATGGCCGCCCTGAAAGGCGGGAAAAAACCAATATGATTTTTCTCTTTTGTGAATAAATCGCGTATTAGGCTTCTGATTTATCATACGGTATTTTTCACAAATTAGAAAAATCGTATGACCAGTAGGATTTCTTATCAAAGAGAGACGATTTTCATTCAGTGGGTTTGCACTGAGTAATTATCACGAATTAATATTCATACATTTACAGCAGCTAGTAAAATAAGACTTTCTTTGATATAGATCAATTTAAAATTGCATCACTTTTCCCTCCTATTTGGATCTAATCTTATGACGAGCACCTGCTTGCAGGCCATAATATTTGTAACCAGTGAGAGGAAATTCCCGACACTGTTGTCTAAGAAGAAATACTCTTCTGGAAGCTTGGCTTTAATGTCATTAAGAAGTAATCGCAAGTACCCTCGCGCAAATAATTTCACAAATAAACCAAAGTTCCACAAATTCCCCTCCTCACTTCGCGACTTGGGAAATTTTGTGAGAACTTTGGAAATACGTGTGATGATAATCCTTATAATCTTTGGTAGTTTCTCAGTGCGTAGTGTATGCTGTTACATACATTACGCACTGAGGAATATTCGTCTTTTTCCTCCCCCCTTTCTAATAAAGGTGGATTTCCAGTGCCGCGTGAGTTTTTCCGTACTTTACACATGCGTAAAGTGCGTAAGCAATTTTCACTGCCGCGTTAAAATCAGTATGTTTAACTTTTCTCTGTATTCTTGCCATTGCAGACGTGCGTAAATTTTTTTTCAAAATTTTTTTTGTAAAATTGTTTCTTGTTTTTTTTGTAATTGTTTTTCAACGCACGCTGACTTGCGTGGACCAAAGCACGACAGCAGAAATCCAGTAAAGAAGCGTGCTAATGAGTATCGTGGGGAATCTTTTGCCTATTGTGTTATTTGAAAAATCGACATGTTTCTTAACATGGAGGACAGATGTACCTTAAAATTTCAGAAAAGTCATAAGCTGATATAAGAGTTAAGGTAACAAATTTTTGCATGTTCACAAGCTTGACTTTTTTTTCCCGGGTGCTTTCTGTTCAGAATATCACGCGTCAAACATTCGCTTGAGCCCTATAACTGCCTTGTCTCGCAACAAAATATCAGATTTTATTCAATTTTTTTCCTTCCAATGCGCGTGATGTTTTTTGCTGCCAATGGATATCCACTTTTTAATGTGAACGTAACACTTTTTAAAAAATTTGGAAATTTTAAAACTTTGTTGAAACATGGATCATCTCTTTGTACTCGATGGCATAATCCACGACAATCGTGCGAATGTAAGTCAATCTCCCACAGTCAGAAGTCAATCCTTTACTATGCAAGAAGGGAGTCCATATGAACGACAAATACGGAATTAGATCGTTAGATCGATATTGTGATTATTAAAATCGAAGCAAGAACAAGCCAAATACAAATTTAGACAACTTATATTTCTAGAACATCCTCACTTGAGGGTCGTTAATAATTGATATGGATGAATACTTGGAAGTGTTAAAAGAGGTTACGGACTTTCCAAGCTAAATTCGAGATTTCAGCACTCTAAAAGCCAGATAAAGTGCTACTTTGATGTTCACTACTATTATTATCACTGAACGTATTGATACTAGCGCAACATAAGCCCCTTCGGGATGGAGACTTAACTCCGGTACATTGGATATCCGACAGACTGGGGCACTGCTGAACGCGTAGCGGGTCACCAAGTAGGCAACGACAACTTTCTTGAACGTGCTTGAACGCGATCCCAGTTTAGTTAGTTTGACAATCACCGGGGAGCGAACTGAGGTGGCTTTGATTGGTGTGTACCTGGTGATTTTAGGTTTTGAGCTGGACCCTCCAGACCTAGATCTCGATCGACTGGATCTTGTGCCTCTTGAGCCACGGGAGCCTCCAGATCTGCCTCCACCACCACGTCCTATTGTTTCTGATAGTTCTACCATCACCATAAGGACGATGGTGATATTAACACTGTAGCAAATCGCATTTGACTGACAGCAATGACGATTAAAACTAGGTTTGGAGTCAGTTCCTCTTCTTAACTTTGTGAAAACTGAGGGCATGTGATGCAGTCTCAGCCAAATGAGTGATCACTATGACATCTGTCAATCAATTCTATTACGTCAAAGCGGATTTTTGCCTACCTTATTTTCTGGTTCCTTCTAACCTCTCGAGAATAGAATAACAACAACGGCCATCGTGTCTGATTATATGAGTTGTTTTCGAGGAGCAATAAAATGAACTAAAACCTTGTGTTTGTTTTCTGAACTTTTTGACACACAAGTTGTGTCAAAGGCAAAAGAGTGAGCCAGATGATAATGTACGTACTTGAATTATTTGGATTTTTTAAGAAACGTTGCCAAAACTGGTCAAAACCTGTGGAGAAATTAAAGGTTAATCAACGTTGCTAAAACGGAGAAAGGTGAAGAGAAGCTAAGAACACTGCTAACCAACTTTGATTTTACGGCAAAACGTAAAATGATTGGTAATGAGCAATGTATGCGCAAGTGATATGATAAAGCTCGCATGATGTTTCACTACACGCATCGTTGTAATCAAATAATCAAATTCGCTCAAGAAGCTCAGAAATACAATTTACTTTCTTCTCGCTCAATTACCACAAAAATTCATTAAGAGGCTCTCAAGACTTTGAGCTGAGAGGCTTCGTTATGATTTGAATAGAAGAGGGGAACTTTCCGATAGAAACCGTTGTGCTGCATTACTGGGGAGGGGGGGACGACGGCCGGGGGGGGGGTTATAACAAGATAATTAGGTTTTATCAACTGAGATAATGATGATGCAAATTGCCACCGTGAAGAGTTTACACAAGAATGCTCAAAAGCAGACTTTTCGAGCACTAGCCCCTGGTCTGTTGACGTTTGGAACGTCAGCTTTGCTGGTACTTTTTATTTATTTTTTGTTCTGGTTTATTTTATCAATCAGTCCTTCCTCAATTATTATTACTTGACAAGTTCGTTATTTCAATCAGTTCCATCAGTCAGCCTTAACTTTCAATCATAAACTCGCAACTCAAATCGCAACTTCGCACTTTTCAATCCCGATAATTCAACGTGATTTCACACCGATTTCTTTATTTCAATTCGTAAGTTTGATTATCAACTGCATTCAACTAAACATTGAGTTCTAGTGTGCGTTCGGATTGTCTACTCTGCCTTACTGGTAACCTTTGGAGAATGCAAGCTTTAGAAACTCGCTCTTTACAGTGTCCAACTTACATCATCAACTCACTTTGTTAGTGAATTGGACGGGATCACTACTGATGTTCACTACTATCATTATCACTGAACGTATTGATACTAGCGCAACATAAGCCCTCTTGATTCAATAACGAAATACACTTTAATTCATAAACACAAACAACGTAATAACGACTGAGAGAAGTATGTTGTTGATGTTCAGTCGGTTTGAGTCGTTTGGATTTGTCTCATACATGGTAACCATTGTATCTTTGACAGTCTTCTCGACCTGTTTACAAGTTGTTTCTGTCACATGTTGTAACTGGCTTACAAGGTCAAAGTCTTGATCCTTGATGTCTTCCAGCGACACTGTTTTGTCGACTCCGTGTAGTGTTTTCGTTTCTCCATTTTTGTACTTCACTGTGGTTCTCAAGTCAACCAAGTTGTCTTTGATTCCTACCATCATGGTTTGACTCCCTGGTGATGTATCCAAACACAATTTTCCTTTGTCAACCAGCAGCCTTTCTCTCTTATAGGTCATCCTTACAGCTCTCTCCTCCGGGATGGAAACCTAACTCCAGTACATTGGATATCCCTGCCGATAGACTGGGGCGCCGCTGAATTCATAGCGGTGCACTGCATAGGCAAAGAAGTTAAACGCGCTTGAACACGATCCCAGTTTGGTCTGTGACACGATCACTGGGGAGCAAGCTGAAGTGGCATTTATCGGTGTGTATTTGGTGATTTTAGGTTTTGAGTTAGAACTCTTAAGGCTATAGCTTGTTCTACTGCTTCTAGAGCCTCCTGATCTGCCTCCACCACCACTTCCTCTTGTTTCGAATACTTCCACCATAGAAATAAGAACGATGGCAACAAAAAACACTGTAGCGACTCTCATCTTTGTTGACAACGACATTAATAATCGAGATTAAAGCCAGTTTTCCCTCGTGATTTTTCCTTTAACGGGTATGCAACCTCCTGCAAACATGATTTCACAAATCATTCGTAAGTGCTTGAAACATGAATCGACAAAAGACATGTATGAGTTCATAAAGTAGCTGTAATGTAATAGTTAGTAACACAGATTATAAGTGTTCAATATCCTACCTCCTTATGTCGAAAAAAATGAGAGGAGGAACAAATGACTTAAAGATAAACCATCGACTTTCTTCAAATTAATTCATAGAGAAGTAATCACTGAAAAAAATTCCTTCGGTTCTAATGACGTCATCAAAGTATGTCTATCTATAGACCAGAATTGCCTCTGATGTGAATTACAATGGTGCCAGTGGTTCTGAAAGGAAACCACATTTTTCAAGTTCTGTAAACCTTCAAGATATACAGTATGGCAACAACAATAGTGTAAACTTATCAACACCTTTTGCTTTTATAGGCTATAGTTACGCCTAGGCCGTGCGTACTGTCCGAGAAACCCATTAAAACTGTGCGTGGACAGAATGCTCTTAAACCTGTGGTTATGCAATCCAATGATGTTTTCAGGCACGTTGCTACCTTACAACTGCCACCTGTGTGTCTGCGGTTGCTGTAACCCCGGAACCACGGGGTTACATGTCAGCAATGACGGTGGATAAGCCAGAGGATATGATTTTCTATAACCGCGATTTTACGAAGCAGTATCACAATGCTCCGAACAATAAGAAAAACACTGTTCCAGGTCATGGCTATTTTGCTAAACTAGCATCCTTCGAAGAGGAGCACTGCGAGAAAGGGGAATGAGATACAGAGTACAGAAAAATGTCTTGCAAAGAGAAATACGGCGAGCTATGCGAATACTGTCGAGCAACTGACTTGGTAAGTCTTTCTCCATTTACACCAACTCCACGACCCTATCCCGATTACAGCAAACTTCCCGACTATCACTACCTACCAAGTACGAAAACACCTACGAGTGGCCGCAAACCTGATGATTATCAGCCTCGAGCTTAAATAAAACAGATGGTTCAAGAGGGTAAGCTCAAAGCAAGGGATAAAAAGGCAATCAAAAAGTTTTCTGAAAAATACATTGTTTCAAGAAGTCTAAAATACTCAATTCCAATATCAAACAGGCCAAAATATACTTTTAAGAGAGTTCATTCGACAAAAAAGATTACTAGGCCCTATCAAAGAAAGTTAGGCTTACGTTTGACAAGTGAAGAGTTTCTGAAAGTACTAGCTCCTATAAGCTTTCAACAAACTAGCAAAGCGTTTTAACTTTGAATCGGAGTCGAATACTTTTAGTCTTTTGTACCTTTTGGTGGATTTCATCTGTCAGTTTCTAGAGTGGCCAGGGTCGGTGTATGATTAAGGCTGCTGATAGAGATGTTGAATTAACCACCTTAAATAACAGCGCCTATAAAGAGCGACATTGCTGGCTGGCTATGTTGATTTACGCTCAGAAACTTGAAATAAATTCGGTTTCTCTACATCATGCGCTCTCCCTGTTCTTAGTTCACACAAACTGTGGGACATTTTTACTTGCTGGTTTTCAGGCAAGCAGGGAACGTTCCAAACATTCACTCTCAATAACTTCGCATGGCCGCCCCGAAAGGCGGGAAAAACTGATATGATTTTTCTCTTTTGTGAATAAAATTGCGTATCAGACTTCTGATTGATCTTACGGTATTTTTCACAAGTTAGAAAAATCGTATGACCAATGGGATTTTTTCTCATCAAAGAGCGACAATTTTTATTCAGTGAGTTTGCATTAAGTAAATCTCAGTACTTATATTCTCACGAATTAATATTTTTAGTTTACAGCTGCTAGTAAAATAAGACTTTCTTTTATATAGACCAATTTAGAACTACAACGTTTTTCCCTCCTAGTTAGATCCATCAGTTGGGCCTTGACCACAAACGCCTGCTTGCAGGCCATACTATTTCTAACCCGGTTCTGTTGTCTTCGAAGTGCATTTATAAACGTCGGACAAGGTTTTACCTCACCTCTATCGCCAGCCTCTCACCAGTCGATTGTCACCTATTTCAGTCGACAATAAGCAAGCTTCGTGGATGAGCATCGAGCATAATCCGCGCTTCGGAATACTCTTTCAGGAAGCTTGGCCTAAATGTCATAAAGAAGTAATGGCAAATACTCTCGCAATTAATCTTACAAATATACCCAAGTCCCACAAATTGCCCTCCTCACGTCGTGACTTAGGAAATTATGTCAGAACTTTAGGAATACGTGTGATGATAATCCTTATAATCCTTAGTAGTTCTCAGGTCTATACTATTATATACACAACGTACTGAAGAATATTCGTCTTTTCCCCTACTTCTCTAATAAAGTTGGATTCCAGTGTCGCGTGAGTTTTCCTTAAGTTAGAGGTGCGTTAAGGCTACCTGCGTCAGCAATTTCCACTGCTGCGTTAAAATTAATAGCACGCTTTTTTTTAAGTAAAAATTGAAGGCTGTTGAACTTTTCTCTGTACTCCTGCGATTGCCGGCGTGCGTAAGATGCAATTAAACGCCTTAAAAACGTGTTAGTGGAAATACGACAACTTTGGGCAGGAGCTCATGCTTTTGGTCAAAGGGTGCGTTTAGCTGTGACGTAAACATTCATTTCAACATACGTAATTGTTTTTCAACGCTCGCTGACGTGCGTGGACTAAAGCACGACAGCAGAAATCCAATGAGTAAGCGTGCTAATGAGCATCGAGGAGAATCTTTTGCCAGTTGTGTTACTTTAAAAATCGCCTTGTTTCCAAAAATGGAAGACAGATATACCTAAAAATAACAGATAGGTCATATGCTGATGTGAGACATTATGTAACAAATTTTGGCAAGTTCACAAGCTTGACCCTTTTTTTCCGGGTGCTTTTTGTTCAGAACATCACTCTTTCGTAAACTTTGCTCCGTTTACTAGGGGATAGGATTCTAACGAACTAGACTCAATCAAACTGTTTTATTCCTCTCTCGTATTCGCTTATTTACAACGGGTGTGTAAAAAGCTACTCTCCAGAATTTGTAAGAAATCACTCTCTAATACGAAATTCTCTACATTGTGATTGGTTGTTGCTA